TGGGGTGTGGCTGGACCTGGAATGGCATGTGGGGGGTGTGAGTTGAGTGGAGCTGGACCCAGAGCGGAGGGGAGGGGAGGAGATTGTTGAGCGGGGCTGGACCCGGAGCAGCAAGGGGTGGGGAGCTGAGCGGGGCCAGATCTGGATTGGCAGAGGGCACAGGGCCAGATGTGGGGCTCCATCCCTGACCCCTACCCCTCATCATTCTTGACGGGCAATTTGCTAGTTTTCACATAAAAGTGATATTAGATCTCTCTTTGATAACACTCCTAACATAACTAAACATTGCTTTATCCAGTGCAGAGGTACCATTTGCTTGTATAATCCAGGAAGACACTTCAATTATGGGCACTCAGAAGATTATTTTTACATCCATAAGGACTGGCCTATTTCTAAAGAAAAGTGCACAGTGCCAGAAAACTACAACTGTAATTGTTATGCTTAAGAGAGATTTCTATAGATATAAACCACTGTCTAGGCAAGTTCAAGCATCTCAGTGTGACAAGAGAAAAAAAAGTTAAGTATTGTTGTAGTTAGAAATCACAATACCAGTTTCTTACCCCGACAGTCTCTTCCGTAGTGGTTTGCACAGCACTGTGGAACCCACGTGGTGGAAAAACAGCTCCTCCTGCACCCTCTTTTCAAGGACCTCTTAAGTTGAGGCCATCTATTGCTATAGTGAAATGGTGAAAAGTGTCCAGAGCTTAGAAACATAAAGGGGTTGTGCAGAAAAAAGGAGGACCTGTAAGATGGATTTTCAGAGTAGTAAAAGCACATCTTGCTTTCCCCCTGTAAGGAAAAACAAGCAAACAAACAAACAAAAAAACCCATTGGGTTAAAAATGCCCCAAGGTTTGTACTTCTGAGTTAATTATCCCCCCGCATCTTAATTAGAGGAAATAACTCTTCAGTTGCATTGGTAAAATTGTTCCAAGAGGAGTAAAAATAAAATTACATACTAGTGGGAGATATTACCCAGATACAGGGTGGGGGGGAAAGGAGAGCCTTCTCATTTTTTAGTCTAACCACTTGATAGTTAGGAATCTGATACAGAGAGCAGGAGACAGGTTCTAGACTCCCCTCACCAAGAGGTCTGAACCTGAATCTCTTGCTTCCTGGGACTATGCTCAAATCACCAGGCCTTAGTTTGCACAATATCCAGGCCCTTCTCTAGAATCCTCTTGAAGAGGAGATGCTTCAACTTGTGTTTAATATTAACTTGATAAAATGGATGGAGAGCTTTGGAGAAGGTTTTGTCCCATTGGGAGCAATAGCCCTGGCTCCCACACAGAACTTCTCTTATCTAGGGTAGAATTTCTCCTGCACAACATCCTGTTCTCTTCCTTTTGGCCTCTTATATCTTTCTCTCATGGTTGCCCAGGGGACTCAACAGACACCTGGATGCTGAAAAATAAATTTACAGCTCTCTTGCTCTCTCTCCTAATATTAGGTCCCATGTTCGTATCATCCAGTTGCTTCAGGACTATTACTATATTTTCACAACAGCTCTCCACAGGAGGGTTATCTCCAATTTACAAAAGGTAATCCGAAGCACAGGGAAGGATGTGAATATTAGTCATTTTTTTTCCCAGCCCATTTGATGGTTCAGGGTATTTCAAAATTAAGTCACTAGAAATCCCAAGGGGTGTGTCCACAAATGCACACATGTGCACTTGCAGCAGCTCAAATAGAAGTGGTGCAAATTTGAGCTTTTTGTCTCAGCACATATGCCCGGACATGCACGTTGTTGTGGAGCAAATTGTGCCACTTGGGGCAAAATAACCCTACCTGGCTCCTCCCAGGTCTGCAGCCAGAGGGAGATAGAGCCTGGGGCCAGCACCTGTGCTGACCCCAGCAGTATAAAAACCTGCCCTGGCCAGCAGCTCAGGGATACTTGCCCTCAGGATCTTCTGAGGCCCAGCCACTTGGTATCTGGGGATACTAGCTGCTTGTGTCAGCTAGACTGCTGAAGCAGCATCCCAAATTCACTTTTTAAAATACCCCAAAATCCACATTCTTCCACAATAAGAACAAAAGAGAAAGATGGAGATTGATCAGCTGGGCAACATTTAATTGCTATATTTACAACGTTAAAGAAATTTGGAAGCCTACCAGTGTCTCTAGCATCATAATAAAATAAATCCTAAATATCTATATGTTTTAATGTTTGCTTTTGGTTTCCTTATCACATGGTGGATGTGTGATGGGTGGATGTGGGGTTTGCAGGAGGGGGTGGGAAAGAGAGTGGGGAGATGTGGGTGGCTGTGTGGGTAGGTGTGGGAACACTGTGGGTGTGGGGGCTGCTTAGGAGGGGTGGGTCCCCT